TGGAGGTGGATTTGAAGCAGGCCGGTACCACAGCGTGGGCCAAGGACAGGTTGAATATGTCTGTGAGCACTCCTGCAAGCTCCCCAGAACACGCTCTGAGAACACGCTGCCATCAGGGCCTGCAGCCTTGTGGACATTGATCCTGCTCAGCACCGCTCCTACATCGGTGGGGGAGAGAGTCAGAGGTTGGTGGTCTGGCGTCACGTCTGCTTTGGTTGTGGTTGTGGGGTTCCCTCGCTCAAAACGAGCATAAAAGTTGTTGAGCTCTATGCCTGCATCACTGGTGGGAGGGGCTAAACTAATAAGAAACAAGACTAATTTCACTTTTACGGTTTCACATCCTGAAATCAAACCAACTTAAGAACACTTTCTGTGCACATAAGTACAGTATATCATCTGTGAGTGGAAATACTGATGTCTGTGGGGTTTTTTTGCAAAGCCTGTAGGGCGTGCACGAGGTGTGACCGGCGAGCATTACCATGCTGCTTCCTGCAGCCATCACACGGTGACTGTGTGTCACAGGTGGGTCATAATTTCCTTTTAACAGAAGCAAGGTTCAAATAAATAACATGACAACTGAATGTTTTGGTAATTTGAAACTATTCAAAAATAAATAAACAAATAAAAAAGGAGGAAATTTAAAAATTGTAATCCTTAAAATATTTATACAAGAGCAGCGTTTTGAAATTGCTCAGCAAACAGATGAGATGCGCTTCTAGGGTGAAAAACATGGTCCAGCTCCTGATCAATATTATTGACAGTGTTGGGGAGTAACGGAATACATGTGCCGCCGTTACGTATTTAAAATACAAAATATGAGTAACTGTATTCCGTTACAGTTACCGTTTAAAAAGGTGGTATTCAGAATACAGTTACTTTGCTGAAATAAATGGATTACACTGCAGTACTTTCCTGTTTCATTTTGTCGCGGGTCAGGACTGTTTGGGTTTTGTTTGACAGCTACGTGCTGTTGTTCCAGGCGGCAGCATTTAGGTTGCCATGGTTACAGGGCGACGCTCTCTCTCTGTGTGTTTCCTGGGTGAGAGAGGCCTTTTTGTTGTTGTTGTTGTTGTGCTAAGCTAACAGGCAGAATGCTACAAGCATAGCTCTAAAGAATGTAGCATCATGTTCAGTGTAGTTCGTGCTGCTGGGAGAATGGACTGCCATACACGTTATGTGTCTGTGAGCGCGAGGAGGGAGAAAAAGGGGAGTGGAAAGGTACGAGCAGTCATCGAGCAGAAACGGGAGCTGGAAGCATGTAAATATAATAATAACCACTGCAGCCAAGAAGAGTGCCTGACGAGCCCAGTTGTAAGTAAGCTATTAAAGCTCGACTGTACACTGTGTTCGTGTTTTCCTCCGAAAACAATAAGTTCCGTTGGAGCAGTCTTTCAATGCCTCTCTCTGTCTCTCGCAAGAAAAGTTGACCCACACAACAAAGTAGAGCTATTTTTCTGCTACAAGCCGACAGGGACCCCGCCGTATTGGTCAGAGGTCCCTTTACTACAGTTCGGAGTCGCGGACCTTCAGTAATAGTAATAAATCACACAGCAATAGTACATTCACGTTGTTGTAAAAAGCATGATAATATATTAAGTAATCTAAAGTATTCAGAATACGTTACTGTCATTGAGTAACGTAACGGAATACATTACAGAATACATTTTGGGGCATGTAATCTGTAATGGAATACATTTTAAAAGTAACCTTCCCAACACTGATTATTGATCAAATAATACTGCAGGCCTTTCAAAGCAGCATGTTAACTGACGAACAACGCTGGCTGCTTTTATTCAGAGCAGTGATTCACGTCACTGTCAGTCAAATCTTTATGTGTGAACAACTAAAGCTCTCAGATGAATGTGGTGCATAAAACGGGACATTATTTCCTTCTGACGTCGGATGCAGTCTTAGTAGAGAGCATTAGTGTGATAAAGTACAAGCATGTAAACACTGTGCAGCACTGGACTACTTTCCACCGCTACACTGATGGTAGACGATGAGTTTGACTGCCAGCACTTTAACTTCATCAAATCTGTATAATTAATGTGTGTTCCTCAAACATGAGGAGCTACAAGTCAGAGAGCTTTACTGTTTCACTGACCATCAGTACAAACTGAAGTTATAAACAGGATTTTATTTTTAACCTATGGAAAAACACTGGAAGATCATTACATGTGACATGTTGTAGCTACATTGCACCGCCTAAACACGAAAGAAGCCAAGTCGTTCCAAAATGTTGCATCGTGTCATAATACATGATGTTCAGATGTTAACACACGATCCAATGGTACAACTCAACCAAACTTTAAACACTGCTAAAAATACAGCTTTACTGCAGTACTATATGTACAGATGTGTTGATTCCATGCAACAACAGCAAAAGAAAAAAAAAAATACGGTGAATACAAAAAATATACAATTTAAGATTCAAAAAATTACCCTAGTATCAGATTTCTTTCAACTATAAATACTAAACTGCTGGGGGGGAGGGGGGGGGCACTTTTTCCTATAAGCAGCTAATCAATTACTTAAGAGAAGCAGTCAGTTTAATAAGCAGTTAAAAGCAGTTTTAGCTTTCACTTGGTGATCTGATTACTTTCTGGATGTTTTACTACTGGTCAGGTTCAATTGATGGGAGATCTGAATGCGCACCTCAATCAGTGGGACATTAAAACTGTTCAAAGTTAAAAACGCAAGTGACCAAATGTTCACTGTGACACTTTAGAAATTACAGATACTGCAGATCACAGAAAAGAAAGAAAAGAAGACAATTGAGTTCTAGGAACCCCCAACTCCCGGTTTTTCCTGTCTGTGGGTGACTCCATGGACTTTTAATGAGCCTCTGAGGAGAAACATCTTCCAAGTTCTTCTCAGTACGTCAGTTGGGGCCCGCTGTGAAGAAGCCGGTAAAGAACAGTGGCTACTACAGCGCTGCATGCATCTGCTTCAGTCTGCAACTAAAACAAAGACAAAGTACGTTAGGGTTGTCTGTCATTTTATGCTGGGAATAGTTCACTGGTGACATAGAGTCTAAGACAAGAGGTTAAATTCCTGGTAATCTCCCACTTTACTTAACTTCTAGGATGAGAGGTCAAATTGGCTTCATTTCAAAACCAACCGTGACCTGGACGCAGACATTACAACACAGAGCACTTCGCTCTCACACTGGAGGCCTACTTGTTGTTCGTGGAGTATTTAAAAGTAGAATGGGAGGCAGAGCCTTCAGTTTTCAGGCCCCTGTGCAATCAGCGCCCAGTTTGGATTTGGGAGACAGGCACCCTCTCTACTTTTAAGATCACACTTAAAACTTGAGAAGAAGAACAAAAACAGGGCCCCAGCTGAAGAGCTAACTAGTGGTAGTAAAAACAACACCTTCGCTCAGAGCCACTGGCAGCACACGGAGTCTAAAGTAGGTTCATGAGACAATCCAGTGTCATGGCAGCTTTGGAAAATGTGAATAAGGTCATAAACTGTGTTTAACAGATCTCCTCTATGATACGTATTACAGAAGCACGATGCAAGAGCAAAGAGTGGGACTTTACTGAAGGAGGGGAACAAAGAAAATCATCTCAGCAAGCCACACAATTTGAGGGGAGCTGTCCAACAGCCAAAATTAGTCTGGCAGAAAAGACAGTTTTGAAGAGTATGCAGTGGCTGCGTAACCTTTATCCTGTGTGGATCTCTTTGCAGCGGTTTAATCACACTTTTCAGATTTGAATGGTCTCTAAACTGGTTTTATGCTTTCCCCACACTGGTCACAGGACCATCTTAATCTGTGTGTGTTCTTCTAGCGTTGCTGGCTGGCTAAGAGTCTGTCCAAAAAGGTCACAGCAAAATGTCTTACTCCCAGAGTGGGACAGCTGATGTTTCCTCAAGCTTGGCAGCCAGGTAAAAGCCAGCCCGCACTCGTCACATACGTGTGGTTTAATTCCACTGTGGAGGAGTCGATGCCTTTCCAAGATGCTCATCTGATTGAAAGTCTTCCCACACTGCTCACACGTGTACGGTCTAAGCCCACTGTGGATGACTCGATGCCTTTTTAAGCTGCTGCTCCGACAAAAAGAAGTCCCGCACTCGTCACAGCGATACAGTTTTACATCTGCGTGGATCCGTTTGTGTACTGTGAGGCGACTCTTGGTAGCAAAAGTCCTTTCACACTGATCACAAGTGTGGGATTCATCTCCGCTGGTCGTTGGGCGAGCATCCTCGGCCTCCTGAGAGCATTCCCCGCCCGGGTCTGTTTGTCCCTATAGCGACAAAGACACAGCTGTCATGGAGCAAGCTTAATGAGTTAAACCATGTGCAGACGTGTTAGTGCCTCCACAGGATTTAAGTTTTACTGAAAATGTTTTATTATTGTTGCGTGCTGTGCAAAGAGCGAGCCAAGTATGCCGTTTGTCTGTTACTTAATCACGTCTTTGTGTTGCTGTCTCACCATTTGTAAATAAGCCATTTTTTGCCTTCTTCAGTGGCTGAGCTGGACTAAGATGGCCGACAGCGTTCCTCTGCTCTTCTGTCGCACTCTTTTCACCTCCCAACACCTGTGGAAAAACTGATTTTAATTGGGCCAGTTTCACAGACAAGGCTTGAGCCTAGTCCCAGAATAAAACGCACATTAACGACATTTTACAAAGATTTAGTCTGTTCTGGATTAAATCAAGATGACTGCAAGATGTAGGATTAAAAACCAGTAAGGACAGCGCTACTGAGCAGGGAAGTCCCTCGGATCAGTGAGGAAATGCTACGTCCTGATGAAGAGGATCAGCTTTCTGGGACTCCCTTACCTTGATGATTGCGCGTGCCAGGAGGCAGCTTTAACATTTCTTTTCCTACATTCGTTGTCAGTGTGGACAACATACGATATCTAAGTGAACTGCACAGAAACCGAAAGAGTCCCGCCGCACAAATACTGGATTTGTTAACTGAACTAATGTTTTGATTAAAAGCTTCTCAGCATCTGGAATTCTACGATCCTCAGAAGAGCTGGACGTCATGTCCCTGACAAGCATCAAGATGCTGATGCTGAGGATGTAGGAGGCGAAGAACTGGATTAAATTTGACTTCCTGGTTGTGTGCAATCACTAAATTAAAAAGGCAGACACTTGCGTGTTGGCAAGGTCCGGCTCAACTTCAGGATTTTGCACACAAGCGAGAAAAACAGCAGATGAGTCACAGCAACTCCATATATTCAGACAAACAATATGTTTGCAACGTAGTGATGGTGACTCTCTGCAGTTACAAAACATAGCTCACAGTCTGCTTTATTAATTCTGTCATTGCAGCTGCTGCTGTGCTGGATACAGCTGAACTGTGTGGTTCCCATCACACTGACCTGTCTTTCTCATTTCTCACTCCACAGATCCCCGAGTGTGAACTTCAACTGCTGTTACAGAGGTCTTATCTTCTTTACGACATCCCTCTGACTTCTTCTCTTATTATTTAGAAAGCATTCGTTAACTTCAGGATCTGGCATTAACCATGATGGCAAACAAGGAGACTACCATGCAGTCATAGTAAAGCTGTGAGTTGATTCTGTGGTCTTTTCTCCAAAGACACCTGAGCTACAAATATTCAAGAGGTAAACTAATCTAAACATGCAAAAGAACTCCAGCAAACGTAAACTAGGTGTTTACCTTAGAAGGACCTCAGGCCCACCAACTCAGAGAAGCTCTGCTGTGAAGCAGCTTCGAATCCCAGAGAGATCTTTGGTGGATGAACTGCTGTGCTCACTGATGATTATGGAGAACAGGTGTGCCAACAGGTTAGCACCGTGAAGGAGCCTCTTAAAGGAGCTACGTTAAAAACCTGGAGAAAACAGTCAGAACATGCAAGTACACAGAACTGAAACAGTAAACTAAAAACGCAGTCCCCTTGAGGCTAATATGTGGAAACAGGAAATAGTTGTCAGCACTGAAGCTCCAGCTATAAATGATGTAAATCACTGGAGAAATACCAGCTTTCTGGGTTTTAATGTCAAAAGGTCATTAATGGCTCTATAAACCTGGATTGACGTGACTGATCTAGGCTCTAAGGATCTAGGCTCCCTCCTTCTTTACCAGACATTCAAATTACTTTGTAATCTCTTGAGTAGCATCTCCATGATGAGCAGACAGGCAATTAAAAGTCTTGATATTGCTAATCTAAGACTGCCATACAAACGTTAACATAATAACCATTCCTCCCAGTAACCATTCCTCGCAGGTGCTCAGGGACCTTGTGGGTTAGAGTTCTGGTTTCAGCCAGATCATATACTGGAAACTCCAAAGTGCTGTGACATGAAATCCTTATTTGAGCAAATGTTTTCCATGAGGGTTATAAACATGCAGAATTCCTCACCAGTAGAACTCAAACTGGACCCAGACGGTTTCACTTTGAATGAATTATTATTGCTGCATCTGTGTCTATACATTGATGTGTTTGACTTTTGTGTTTTTAATGTACATTTTACAGATGATGTATGTTATTGACATGTCTTTGTTTAAAAGCCCAACTAGTGCAAACGACCTTTGAATCTAAATGCTTGAAATGGTTGCAGTAACATTCTGATCACTATAATAAAAGTAAAACATACATAAAAATAAAAGGAGACATACAACTGCAGTCCTTGTGTCTTTCTGACTAATTATTTAATCTGACTTAGTTTTCGTGCTGCTGCAGTACCAGCAGATAACCACCAGAGGGCGCGTTGACATTATGTGACCGACTGAATGTGCGCGTGGCCATTTTTCATTTCTGTCTTTTAGATGGGTTTCTGACTGTTTTTTTAAAGTCCACTTGTTTTTGTTGATGATAGTCAAATTTCTCTCTGACCCTGCTTTTGCTGGAGGCTTCTTCCTGTTAAGGGGGATTTTTTCCTTCGCACTGTCGCCAAGTGCTTGCTTAAAGGAGGTTGTCTAAATGTTGGGTGGATTCCACTGAAGAATATCCTCCTCAGGCTTGGCTGACATTGTTTTAACTGCAGACCTGTGATTGTTCTGACTTTGTGTTTATCTAAATATACTCTAATAAATGCATGAAAATTCTGCCTGAAGGATACCCGATGGAACTAGACTGTGCACCCTCTGAAACACAGTGGATCTTAGTTATGAGGTTGGTAAGGCTGAATGGGACAATCCCATTCTTGCTAATGACATGACACATATGACACAATACAATATAGATATAGTCCAAAGTATTCACCAATCCAAATCATTGAATTCAGGTGTTCCAGTCACTTTCATGGCCACACGTATATAAAAAGTCACCAAATTTCTGCAATTTTCTTCAGATTAGGTCAAGAACAGTGTGTGGCTTCATGGAATGGGTTTCCGGGGCTGAGCAGCTGCATCCAAGCCTTACATCACCAAGCACAACCTAAAGCGTCAGCTGCAGTGGTGTAAAGCACACCCCTGGACTCTAGAGCAGTGAAGACCTGTTCTCTGGAATAACCAATCACACTTCTGAGTCTGGCAATCTGATGGATAAGTCTGGGTTTGGCGGTTGCTGTTTGGTGGAGGGGAATTACGGTGTGCAGTTGTTTTTCAGGACCTGGGCTCGGCCCCTTTGTTCCAGTGAGAGGAACTCTTAATGCTTCAGCATACCAAAACATTTTTGGACAATTTCATACCCCCAACTTAGTGGGAACAGTTTGGAGATGGTCCCTTCTTGTTCCAACATGACTACGAACCAGTTCATATCAACAAATGTATTTTGTTTGGGGCATGAAATCATCACCAGTGAATCGGGGCTATACAGACCTTACCTTGGCTTTATCTTTGACAACATGTCCACTCTTACCGGTTTCTTTTTTCTTACTCTCCTAACTTTAACTTGATAACATTTCAGGTTAAGTGTGTTTTGAATCTGCACACTGATATGTGTCATGAAATGAACTCCTCGCCTTCATTCAGCCAGAGCAAGTCTTATTTATCAATGATAAGCAGCGCCTCTGTGCTGTGCCATACTGCAAATGTTCGCGCCGGTCTGATAGCAAGTAAATACGGGGCCAGTACTGCCGATAGTACTGATACTTCAGAAAACATTTTAATGTCCAGTAAACCACTGTTGTCTTTACTTTCCGCAATAATTTGTTAATACAACGAAAACACAAATGAATCTGTATGTTTTTAAGATAACAAACAAACAAACAAACAAACAAACAAACTGAATTTAATTCATTTTTTTTCTCATCCCTTTTCTTTATGGAGGAGTCACTCCTGTAGAACACACTTCTGTCCAGCAGGTGGCGACAAATCGCCAACGGACTGAACAGAACAAGGAAACGCCTTAGAAGTGACGTCACTCGTGTAGCGGCCACAAACAGGAAGAAAACATCCAGCTGTTATCAAAGCACGGAGAGCTCTGGTTAGCGTAGCAACCCTTGTAGCAGTGGCTCCGTAATGAAACGGCTTTGAGAGTCGGGAATAAACCAGTGCTTTATCATGCTGTGTCCGCAGTGGTGACTGTATCGAGTGACACTCAAGGAATTTAATTGTGTTCGGCTTTCCTCCGGTCCGAGTGTAGAAACAAGGTACGTTAGCTTAGCATCAGAGCGCTAGCTAGCGGCAGCTAACACTAGCCTGTGTGCTGTACGCTGAACTGTAGTTAAACCTGCGGACACAAGAGTGACACTGTTGATACCAGTGGCAGCATGCGCCGTTTCTGCCGGATTATTACGTAAATAAAGAAATAACATCACTGTTTTCGTATTTACAAGAACTTGAGAGGTTTGTGTACACGACTGCTAATGGTCACTTCACTTTTTATGGGCAACCTTATTTGATGCCTATTACATATTTGCGTTTAATTTTCTGGGGCTTTACGTCATAATTGCGTTTCATTCTGCTGGTCCGTTTAAATGTGTGTCATTCTAACCTTTATAAATGTCAGTAATGCGTGTTAATTGTGCGAGGGCTTACCTGACTTCTCTTTGTTATCTAGAACTGCACAATAGCAGAGGTCTGCATGCCTCAGTGTTAGTCAGTACCTTGTACTTAATTGTAAAGGGTGTTTGTTTTTTTTAGTCTGCTTTTGCAGTCTCACCATCTCTCCTGTGCACTCTGTTGGAACCTGCAGGTGTGAATGAGTGACGTGGTGCCTCCCACAGCCCTCAGTGAAGTCCAGCTCCGCTTCCTTTGCCACGATGACATAGAGAACGTTAAGCTGCTCTGTGGTGATTGGTTCCCAATCGAGTAAGTTATCATACTGAGAGTGTCATTGGCTGACATTTGTGTGTATAGGAACTGTCTTTGTTTCATTGTTATTGACTGGCATAAATGGACTCCTGTTAACTGAATGCCCAGTGAGCTAACAAGTAGCGGCCCATAAGTTAAGCAGACCTTCTGGAGTCTGAGTAATAGTCTGATATGAGACCTGTCTGACGTTTGGTTCCAGGTACCCAGACTCATGGTATCAGGACATCACCTCCAACAAGAAGTTCTTCTCCCTCGCTGCCACCTACAGAGGAGGCATCGTGGGAATGATTGTGGCCGAGATCAAAGGTCGGACCAAAGTACACAAAGAGGTAAGAGGTTCAGTTTGGATGTGCCATCTCTCGCTCAGAAAGTGTAACATGTTGTCAGTCCAGTCAAAGGTGCAGTATAATATTTTTAATGTTTTGCAGCAGCAGCTAGAAAGAGACACGTTCTTAATGTGGATTTCCTCCAAAATATGACATTGTGTTCTCTGGACATAGTGTCACTGAGTGTGTGAATGTCTGCTGCTGCTTAGAGATGTCATAAGTAGATCACTGACATAGTCGACTGTTTTTAGTGCACTGCTTTGGCAAAAAGGATACCTTTGGTAAAGATGGGTTCATTAGCCCGAAATATAGGAGAAGAGGGTAATGAGAAAGAAACTGATGAAAGAAGAGCTGTAACTTGTGGTCTTTTTTTGATTTTGTGTAAACGAAGTGCAATGGATTTGATTTTGCTTTGATCGGGATCAATGTTATCTTGTTTGAATGAGTTTAGACTATAAGCTCCAAACTTGAATGTGCAGTATGCAAATTTCTGGCATGTTTTCAACGTGACATTTCCAACATCTGAGAAATCGGTACAAAAAGTGGCGAATGTAGATTTACAAAACACTGGAATTCGACTGACTCCATTTAACAAATGTCTAAACGTTGCTTCTCTCACTTTAGCATGTAAGGTGTTCTTAATCTGACATTTTTTCCGTTGGTACAGGATTTGCATTTTATAAACTGCCGTACCTGTGGTTAATCTCCCTGGGCAAAGATCTCGATGGGTGGAGAGAAAGTTTAGAGTTTGGACGATTAACTTAAGATAACAAAGCTTGAAGAAGTGTCGTTTTTATTCTGTCACCCACTGTGGACGTTGAAATAATCAACTTGTGTATATGTCTGTTTCTTTCTATGTATGCGTGTTAGGATGGAGACATCCTGGCCTCCAGTTTCCCCGTGGACACACAGGTAGCCTACATCCTCAGCCTGGGAGTGGTCAAAGAGTTCAGGAAACATGGCATAGGTAAACAGACACACTGTTTGCAGTTGTGGCTAAAACCAAAGGCTTTATGTACAAGACAAACACAGCCTCTAGGTCTGAAATGTGAAGCCAGGGCACGAGTGCCTTAAACCTGATGGTCAGAAAATGCAATGAATAATTTCCCTTTAAACTAATCTGGGGTTATACAACCTCCATGCCATTTAGGCTGAGTAAGTCCAGTTTATACAATTTTATTTGTGTTTTGTTACATTTTAACATTTTTTGGCTTACTAGCTTTTTTTACGTGTACTAGAACAGTCCTCTTCTTCTTTTTTTTCTTCTTTGTCTTCTTTCACCACCACTAGCCACAGCAGATGGCCCCGCCCCTTCCTGAAGCTTCTGCTGGAGGTCTCTTCCTGTTAAAAGGGAGTTTTTCCTTCCCACAGTCATAGATGGTGCTTATGGGGGATTATCAGATTGTTGGACTTGGGTCTTTTCCTTACAATATAAAGCCACCTCAGGTGACTGTTATGAGTTGGCACTATATAAATTACATTTAATTGAATTGAAAAGTAAGTAAAGAAAACCCATCCAGTAACATCTCGAAGTCACAACACCAAGATGAGGCAAAAACTGTTCAGAACTAATTTAACACCCTTTATTCAGTTAGCAAGAATCTGAACGAATCGCGGGTTAGACACTGTCTCATCAAAGACATTGATGATTTGATCTGTTGAGTCACATGTTGGAACTACGCTCAAAACTCATCTGCTGTGAGACTTGATGTAAATTTGATGTCGCAGTACATTAATATTGATTGAAACGATTCAGGCTCACTGCTGCTGGACAGTTTGAAGGAGCACATATCGACGACAGCCCAGGACCACTGTAAGGCAATCTACCTACACGTTCTCACCACGAACAACACTGCCATCAACTTCTACGAGAACAGGGACTTCAGGCAGCACCACTACCTACCCTACTACTACTCCATCCGAGGCGTCCTCAAAGATGGATTCACATATGTGCTCTACATCAACGGGGGTCATCCACCCTGGACAATATTATATCCTTTTTTGGAAGCAGGAAAATACTTCACTTACTCACTGTTATTTCATTTCCTCTGGGCCATACTTGTCCAGATGTTGCAGGAGAAAAAGTAAATGTTGCATTGTTTCTTTTTCCTTGACTTCCTGTCCCACTGATTATATCCAGCACATCGGTTCAACCCTGGCCAGCCTGAGCCCCTGCTCCATCCCTCAGAGGCTGTACCGACAGGCCCAGTCCCTGCTGCGCTCGCTGCTCCCCTGGTCCAATATCGCCTCCAAGACCGGCATCCAGTACAGCAGAACAATGTGACACAGCATGGTGAGTGGGGCTTATGGTGACACATGTCACCCACATTATTAAATATTAAATTAATTCATCTGACTGTTTTTGTTGTGTTTTGTTTTCCTTTCTGTTTTTCAGTCACACAGATGTTCCCGTCAGTCTTCCCCTGTACACGCCGAGATGTACACGCACACTCACATTCTCCTACAGCTTTCCACACCCTGTGTGACACACAGGACCTCAGGTTCAACCTGCATTTGACCGTTCACATATTTCAGCGCCCACTGATTTACAGGGTTTGTTTCACTGCAGGGTCATGAAATGTGCAGTGTTGTTTTCACACTGACAGACAGTGGGAGTTACGGTTACAAACCACTGTTTTCTTGATTTAATCAGATCCTCTACTCGCCCATATATACATATCACACTGTCCCATTTGTGCTCCAGCTGTAATCTGAGTGTAGCCGAGCGGTGGCAGCCTCCCTTAGAGGCCAGGCAGCAGCGCGGAGTGGAGGACCTGCTTCAGATACGTCAACCCTGATGCACAAACGGCAAACACAGGTTGTATTTTTGATGTGGAAAGGGTGTAACACACACACTGGGAACCAAACAGAGACTACAGGTTCAGCCGATCGTCCTGCCTCCCTTCATCCTGTCCACCACTGTCAGAGACTATGTACACTGTTGTATATTATATATACTAAGATAATATATACATTGCTCTCAATATGTGTGTCTATTCTATGCTGTTAGTAGGACTAGCTGGAAGATAACCCATCCCTGTCTCTTTTACGAGTATACGCTGAATGGGGAAGTAGATAAGAATAAAGGTGATTATAGAAAGGAAAGTTTGAGGGGCAGTTCAGTCAGATTTATTTCATTTTTCTTCACAACATTCATGAAATTGGCACTCTGTTGTAATTGTAATGGTAACGTACGGTCACATTTCTAAGCAAACAAAAAAGGACTCTGCATTGTTTCTGTTGTATGATCCAGATGGGAATGAGAGAGAGTAGCTTGGGTGCTTATTTTAGGGGTTTTTTAATGTAACTGGCTGCAGCCCAGTTGGTCTGTGACGTTGCTGCTAATGTAGAGAAATGTTTGTTCAGATTGTTTTCTTTTTTTAATTTGTCCCAGGTTAAATTTTTATGTCGGCCTGTAGAAGAGCTGAAGAAAAGCATCGTCCACCACACGTGCCTGCATGCATGCAGGTGTGTACGTATAAGCACACAGAGTCCCAAAATTAGAACCTAGCAAGTGCCAAAGTTTGGGGGTGAAAGACAAATATCGCTGATTAATGTTGTCAGAAAGCAGCGGTGAGGTTTCTTCATTTTGTTAGAGCTCCGTTGGACTTTACACAAAACCTGCTCCACTGTATCAGAGAGCAACAATGTTTGATTTGGTACATGGCACAGCACTGAATGAGGTCAGGGGGACTGTGAAAACAAAAACATAATCACAGTTCGGGTGTTCATCTCTCACTTCACCAGCCCCGAGGGTTTCTGAAAACATCTGACATTGTTTATGCAATAAATTTGTGTCACCTGAGTGAGTCGGAGTTGCCCTGCTGTAGGACGACAGTGTTCTACTGTTTTCATTGTGATTGTCTTATTATCATAAACTTGAGCCTTGTTTTCATTCCAAGCAGGCCCTGTTTCAGTGGTTTGTGTCTCAGTGTTCAGCTTCATTGCCATTGAAGACGTGTGAATGAGTCGAGCTAAAACAAACAGCATCCTAACGCTTCCAACAGTGCAGCTTCAGGTCAGCCTCTGACTTTTCTGATTCCCACACTCTGGGCTTCCTCTTTAAACAAACAGCTAAAGCTTCTCAAGTCAAAGACAACACTGACAGAATCATTGGGTTAATCTTCCCATTGGATCTTGGACCAGAGTTGAAAAATGCACTATAAATATTTTGGTGAGCTAAATATTGTGTACACGTTAAACACATTTTTAAATGCCTCTGTGTTAGATCCTCGTGACCTGCAGGGTTCAGCAGTACTGACTAAGATGAAGTCAGTGGAGACAACACTGACCTGAAGCGTGGCAGACAGTGCTGAACGATGGGAATTCAGCAGACACGACAGATTCTTTCACAAAAGGCTCTCAGAAGACCTGAGTCCTTGTTTCAAAAAGCATGAATCCTGCTATCAGTGTGATATGCACCACTGCACCGCTAACTGAGGCACATTATGCTATATTAGAGCTATAAGACTTAATAAATAGTAGTTCATACTTATTGTGGGTTGTGTATGTATGCGTCAGTGCTTTGCTAATGTGCGACCTGAAGCCTGGTGCCATACATTCACAAGAGAAGCATTAACATCCTGCCAAAATGTTGCTTTTGGAGTCCTGAAGTACTGATGCAGAAGCAGATGATGGGAAATGGGCTGCTTTTCTCATTAAGCTTCATTCATTTTTAATATAGAGTGCGTATAAAATGGCTCTGCGTGGTCACAGCACTATTAAGAGGTTTCTGCATATGGTTTAATAATTGGTTATTAAAATGGTTTTGAGCTATAACACATGGGTGAGATCATCGTCCTCTGCACTGGTTGTGTTTGTGTTACTTAGCTGATTGATGCTCTTTGGGCAACAGGAGGACCCACTCAGAGCCGATGTTTCCCCTGAAATGTTTCACCCGACTGTAAGAGTAACACAACTGAAAGCATGCGGCAGCAGTCAACCAACATTAGGCTTTCCTGAGAGAGAGAAACGTGAGGTGGTAGAAGTCGTGCTCAATATTTTAGATCAGCTTTAAAATTAAATTACAGTAAAAACAGACTGTGTGTTGTGTGGTTAAGTTGGATGGTTCTGTGTCGCCCTTGCAGATGTATGAGCACGAAGCTGTGTGGTCAGTAAAGCATGTATGTTAGTGTGCTGTTTGCTTTCCAGGGTGCCAAACATAAGACCCGTGGGCCAGAATCAGCCCAGCAAGGACATCTTGAAGTAGGACAAAGTTTTGGGCTTTTAACTAATTTCCCAGCTTGTCCTACTGATACAGACCTCTCGTGCACACATTCATGGTACAGTAATGATTAAATGAAAGAAAGTTCCTGTTTTTATTGTTTGTTTGATCGTATAATGTGTCCAGAGTAAACTACAGCCTCTTTATCGTGTAGAAAAACTGAGACTTACTGCTGGTGTTGCACGGCTTTTCTTCGTATACCGACAAATCTCAGAGATTAAATGTCCAGTTAAATGTTTCTATGCCAACAGAAAGGGGAATTTCATGCCTCATTTCAGTAAACTGCTGCATCTATTTCCCATTTTTGTAGCACAGTAGTTTGGTGCATATTGCACCCTGTAGGTCCATGGAGATGAGGACCTATTAGATAGGACTGAAGGACCAACACAGGCTGCATACAAGAAGGCTCGACTTCCTATAGACGCTCCGATCCTTCAACACATGCAGCAAATGTTCCATCAGATACTTTACTGTGGTCTGCCAAGGAAGCAGCTTTAAGCTTGTGATGCTAACAGACTGAAGGAGCTGATTACGAAGGTTTAATCTGTGACGGGCTACAAACTGGACACCTGATGCTGTGGCGGGGAGGAGGTCACAGGTCAAAGTTATCCAGCATGAATAATCCCGATCGCCCTCTGCACAGGAAATGTTTTATTCCACATGCTGTCACTCTCTTTGATACAGTAATTGTTAACCCATTCTTCTACAATACAGTCATTTGGCTTTTCAGTTTCCAAATCCTTACAGACGATTTAAAAGTCTGTCAATCAAATGTTTTTCAGTTGTTTTTTGTTTTTGTGGTTTGCTTGACAAATACTC